GAGAGAGAAACTGTGGAACACTTTGTTACCAGTCTGTCACCAACCCTTCCGAACATTACCAGTCTGAAATTGCTATTTCGCTGAAACACATAGCAACCCAAAAACATGGCCTCTTCTTCCCGTCCAGCTACCCAGAACCTGCTCACGCTCTTTCCAGAACTGAACGAGCCCACAAGAGAAATAACTGGTGCGGTGGCACTGGAACCTCAACCAAACACCCCTGGGTTTGCTCCGTTGAACTTTCCGATGCGGTCTGTGGAGCAAAGAATGGCAGTGCTGTCGGATGTGGAGGCCAATCAGTATACTTTGAAGGCATGTGTGGAAAGCATGACGGCTGTCACAAATTTGTCGAACCGGCTGCAGAGTAGGACAAATGAGGTGCAGCATTTAAACGCCCAACTGGCTCTGCTCCAACGCATGTATAAGGATGCGCGAGCAGAGATAAGTGTGCTGAAAGTAGAAAATAAGGAGCTGAAGCGGAAGGCCTCTGTGATGTTCCGATTTGGAGGTCCGCCGTATGCTGCAGTGGAGGAGTATGGAGGAGTGAACGGGCTCGGCGGCGTAGGAAACACGGAGGCAGCACCGTCAAGGGCCGCCCAGGACGGAGGAAAGAAGAAGAGATCTGCAGCAGAGTAGAGAAGAAAAATCCCACTGTGGGTGTTGGGTGTGTTATGGTGGTTTTTTTTTTTTTTTTCGTGTAAAATTATGATCGGGGTTGATCCTGACATGAATAAAATAAGTGTGTTTGGCAAACTCGAATGGTAGGTGTGGTAATGCAGAAAAATCAACAGAAAAATTGTTGCTCCTTAAGTTGCTTGTGCTTTTGTTTATTTTATTTTATTTTATTTTATTTTATTTTATTTTTTTTTTTGTGGACTCAGAACCATGTGCGAATCAAATTGTGTGTCGGTTTCATTTCATAAGAGGGAGTAAAATAAGAAAAAAAAAGAAAAAGAAAGTTAAGTGGGTTTTAAAAGATGGAATAAAATAATAAAAAAAAAGAAAAAGAAAGTGAAGTGGTTTTCAAAAGATGGAGTAAAATAATAAAAAAAAGAAAAAGAAAGTGAAGTGGGTTCTCTCTCTAGAAACGGTGTGTGTTGTGTCCCCGTTGAAAACTAGAGCTTGAAAAAGCTCTTAAAAATACTTGGGACCCTCATTTTTGGTGATCCCCACAACTACCAATTGATTTGTGACCATTCATTTTATTTTTTTATTTTTTATTCTCTCACTCTCTCTCACAAATGCTGTAAGGGTGTGGGGGAGTCTGGAGCATAGTCGTTAAGTTTTATGATAAATTTTAACATAGAATAAACTAAAACTAAAAAATGTATAAAATGAAATTTATTTTTATTTATTTATATATATATATATATATATTATTTTATTTTATTTTTTTTGTTGGGACCACATGGACTGTGAATCCATCACCCCAGAAAAGGATATGAAACTCCTTGCAACACAGTTGCCTCTTTTGAGAAAGTGTTTTAACAGGCCCATCGCTGTCAATTCTTTTGGGACAGAATCACTTTGAAGGAAAAGAGATGGTGCAATGAAACTTGGACGTGGTAATGCTTCACAAGATCCGCGAGCAGTGGCAGCCCAGCTATTGAGAAAGGTGCTGAACGCTGTTCCATCGACTGTCATGTGTGAAACGAGAGCACCAATGGCGATTCCACCACAGTCGAAGAGGGTGGAGATTGCAACGGAGGGACGGTGGCGAAGGTGAATGAGGAGGCCGGTTCGGACAGTAAGGGTTGACGGCGATGGCGATGTATCACCACCAAGGAGCTTGGCACTGTGATGTGGTCTTTGGGACAGAACCCAACAGAAGCTGAGCTTCAGGACATGATCAATGAGGTTGATGCTGATGGAAATGGGACAATTGATTTCCCAGAGTTCCTCAACCTGATGGCCCGGAAGATGAAGGATACTGACTCTGAGGAGCTCCGCCATGTTATGACAAATCTTGGTGAGAAGCTCACAGATGAGGAAGTGGACGAGGTGGAAAGGTATGCGTAGAAAATAAGCGGAATAGGTTGAGGTCCGGCGGGCGGCCAAGGCGAGGCTGCCACCCGCCGGTGAAGCGGAATTACTAGGTTCTCAACCTTGCTCTGATACCATGTAAAAATATTGAAGTATATTATTGATTGATGTATTACAAGATTGATTAATTACAATTCCTATACAATCTATATATAGAAGAAAATGTGGTAGTAGGTGTAGTGGAGGTGATAGTGGGTTAGGTGAAGTGGAGTGTGTGGTGAAGTGGAGGTAGGTGAAGTGGAGTGTGTAGTGGAGTAGGTGAAGGTAATGTGGTAGTAGGTGTAGTGGAGGTGATAGTGGGTTAGGTGAAGTGGAGTGTGTGGTGAAGTGGAGGTAGGTGAAGTGGAGTGTGTAGTGGAGTAGGTGAAGGTAAAGATGGGAAATTCTAACATGATAGGAGACAAGGAGATCAGAATTAACATGGGTTGAGGTAATTGAGAATTAAAATGGGTTGAGATAATTGAGAATCACCATTTACATTTATAATCATGAGCCATATAAACAAACTTATAACAGCATAAGTAAGACCCATTGCTTTTATGTGGCCTTTTGGTTAGTGCTCTCAAGACATCATCACCTTAAGAAACCTAATTTCAAGTGTCACAGACATCACTGGACAGGACAGTTCATAAGCCTCAAACCAAGTCAACCAGCCACCATATATAATAATATAACCATTTGTCCTGACCATCTACAAACAAGTTTCTCTTTTCCCCTTGGTTATGGAAAATCATAAAGAAATATATCTCTTGCAATTTATATGATAAAAAATGTATTTAACTCAACTCAGGCTTGCCAATCTATTTGGGTCAACAGCACGAATACTGTTTCTTCACATCTCAAATCCTTAATCCAAACACAATAATAAAAAAAAACCCAAAATGATCAAACTGTAATGGAGGCATGACATGTGCTGAAAAGACACTGATGGGTGGCTAGAATAAGGAAAATTGGAATGTGGTACTCTTGAAACATTGACAATCACTTTCTCATTAACAAAGCTGTTTGTTTTATTACCTGTAAAGTTTATATTGTAATTACTTGGTTTTGAGGGGATTTAAAACCAATTATCTAGAAAGCAAAGCTGAGCAAGGAGTTTGAGAGGATGGTGTTTTAATACTGAACCTGGATATTTTAAAAGGTTCTTCAGGGATGTTGGTGACAGTCTGGTAGTAGCACAAAGGTTTGCCTCACAGACTGAGATTTAATGTTGAGTCTTGTAGCAGAGAACAAGATTATGAAACTTATAGTTAGTCCAAAAAGTGGGTATCAAATTATGGGAGTAATTAAAAACTCCTTAATATGTCAACAGCTTTTCACCACCACATAGCCATTAGTATTCATGCTGTTTTATCTATGGAACTTGTGTAAGAGGGGAAGGTAGGTTTTTACCAGCATTGCTTCATCCCTGGCAGGTTATATGGGCTGTTTTGCTTCTTTGATGCCTTAACAGAGCTCTGTAACTAGTGGCAAGTTTTTGTTGCCAATGTTTTTGCAGGGTCAGAAGAATACGTACTAGTATAACCTTAGAATGAAAGCTCAATTTGAAAATGCAAGTCTGAAAAAAGTGGCGTGTGTTGAGATAATAACTTTCATCCTAATTGGAAGGTAGGAAAAAGATAAAGTAGTTTTGGTGCTTCAACTGAGGAAAAGAGATTGATGGACCTACGTGGACATTTAGATGATCATTGAAATGAGATATCTTATTTAAAATTTCTTCCATCTATTCTTGTTTATACTTATTCTAATTTTTGACTCGTCTTTGCTAATTCAATTTTGTGATTGTTTGTTGCTTTCTCTAGCTGAACCTTCTGGTGGTTCACTCCTAAAATCGCAACAGAAAGTTCCTGCACCAACAGATAATATGGTTGCAATGCTGCCAAAGCCCACTCATGTTTCCCCATCGCCATCCCCTGGCATGGTTCTGGGTTTCTCAAAGACCACATTCACATACGAAGAATTAGCACAGGCAACAGAAGGTTTCTCCAATGCCAACCTTCTTGGTCAAGGTGGTTTTGGTTATGTCCACAAAGGAATACTTCCAAATGGGAAAGAGGTTGCAGTTAAGCAGCTAAAAGTTGGAAGTGGGCAGGGGGAGCGCGAATTTCAGGCCGAGGTTGAAACCATTAGTCGTGTTCATCATAGGCATCTTGTTTCACTGGTTGGATATTGCATTTCTGGGGCTCAGAGAATGCTGGTTTATGAGTTTGTTCCAAACAATACATTGCAGTTTCATTTACATGGTGAGCTCTTAGGGTTAGGGTGATATGATTACTTTGCTTTCTCAACTGTGCTGGTAAATTGCTAACTATAATATGCTGAAAAGAAATTGATCTCTTGCTACAAGAAAATCTTGCAAAGCAGATCTGTGCAGCCCCTCAAATTCTCAAACTTCTCTGCTCGTGGCACAACAAAATTGATCAAACACAAGGATGCAATATTGCTGGCAAAATGCCTATTTTCTGAGTTAGCTGTCGTCTTTAATGTATTTGGAATATTATTCATGAGAACAGGAAGTTTCAGTAATTTAGAATTACTCAAACGTGTAAACTAGAGTTGGTCATGCTCATTCAGAACTAAGTTTGGTGGGTTTCAGCTTATGTTGGCGCTTGGACCTTTCTGGGGCGTGCATTTCCTGGACATCACCTTGTTTTTTTGGCTTTGTGTACTTTTCCCCCTCTGAGTTTAGATCTGGTTACATAAGTTCATTGTTTAATCGTTCAGTTCATGGTGGTTACATGGTTCTCACAGTTACATTTTATTAATTACTTTTTTTAGTGAGGTCGGTCTATCAAGCTCATATCCTTTGCTATATTTTTGCTGCTAAATGGTATGTACTCTATGGGAGAGTAATAGCATTTGAATGACTAGAAATTATTCATTCTTTCTTTTTAAGTTTTCACTTTAAATTTTTAGTAAAGCAGTTATGCTGATTTTAATTTTATTTTATCTCCTACTGTTTCCATTTTTCTAGGCTGTGGGTTCTCATGGCAAGTAATTTTTTTTAAGTGTCTTAATCTTCCTATGAGTA